GAATTTAAAAAATATAATATGAGTGAAAATTTAATTTTTTTTTCTTTAAGTTAAGTTTAGGTATCTCTATTATATGTAATTAGTATTCTTAGGTTGAAATACGCTAAAGCTTAATTAAAAATATGACATAAATGTATTAGAGAAGGGAAATGGGAAGGAAAAAAAAAATACAAGTAAAGGAAGTATAAAGTTAGAAAGAAAAAAATGTCAGAATAAAGTGGGTAAAGGGGAAAAAAACTATGTAATGAAGGTGAGAGAGTAAGGAAAAAATGTGATGATAAGCCATATACACATATAGATGAGTTTGTTAAAAGGGTAAAAGGAAGAGAAGAAGTAAAGAAGTAAAGAAAGAAAGTTATTGCATTTGATATAAAGTTATCGCGTCCGAAAGTTATGTTGACCAAAATTTGACCTAGGGTAAAATGGTCTTTATAGTGAGAATCAGTCTTAGGCCTAGTTTAGAGTTTGTTCCTCTTGTCAAAATAATTCTATTGGTAGAAAACATCAAAACCCGACCTCAGGGTAGAAACGTCAAAATTTCCAACGCCAAGGGTAAAATCGTAATTTTTGAAAAAAAATTTTAAGGTGGAAAAAGACTTAGATAGCCATAGTTAAAACCCTTTAGCCACCCAAAAAATCATGAAGGGAAAAACGGTCATTTCGACTACAAAAGGTTAAAATGGTCAGATAGGCACCATGCTCCAAGTTTTAGCTCGAGGTCTCTGAAGGTAGAATGCTTAGGATGACAAATGTCTTAGATTCATAACTTTGGAATTACCGAAGCCCACTAAAGGTAAAATTAATTTTTAAAGGTAAAACCAACCCACCCTCAGGAATCGGAAACACGATACTTATTCCTCGTTCATTTCACCGATTCGAGTTTTTAGTTTTAAGTTTCTACAGTAAAAAAACTCTTAAAAAATATCATATCTTACTTTTTCTGCTACAGTGAAAAGCTCTAAGAAAATGTCACATCTCAGCTCGAATTGAAAATTTGAATCCGCGAAGTGAACGAGGCCTTAACTTAGAATTTCCTAAGGGACTAGTAACACTCATAGCTTGATCCAACCATGACAAGAAACCCAAATGGGCCCAAATTCCCAAGTAAGAGTTAAAGTAACCTTTAGGTGAACTTACGGTGACCGATTAGGTAATCTGATCAAAGGCGCAATAGAGGATGAAGTAACCCTTAGGTTAACCATTAAGGAAACCTACTAGGTTTTTCGTTTTGAACCTTACCTCCCCCAACTCAATCTTAAAAATGTTTAGGAATAGGAAAGGGCCAAAATAAGAAAGAAGGTAACCTCTACGTAGACTTAGAGAAATCTATAAGGCCCAATATTATTCTTAGGAATGTTTAAGGATTTGTGAGCCAACTAAACCTAAGAAGTAACCTAATAGGTAACTTAGTGGTATACTCGCGGGAAATCAACTTAGATAAGTCCCAAGGCCCTTAAGTGAATTAGTAATAGTTATTGGATTAATTAATGAGTTAATTATTAATTAACTAAATTTAGATAATTAATTAACTGATTAATTAAGCTAATAGAATTTACTCGGATATTTAATTAATGGCAAGTGACGAATGAAGGACCTGAGATTTAATTGGATAGTAAATCAGTAATCATTTACTGAGTTAACTAATGAGTTAAAGATGAGCAACAAGCTAGCAAAGGATGATCAACCTAAATTGGTTAATAAAATTAAAAGAAGTTAACTAATTAACTTATAGAGATTGATTAGTTCGACCGTGAGGAAACATAACTAGTAAAGGAAAATTAAATTAACTGCTTTTAAGAAACGTTAATAATTCTAAGCCCACAAGACTCAAATAAATTAAGTTTGAGTTGGAAATAAAGTGACATTGATTTGTCGATACAACTTCAATACAGAATCTACAACTTTGAAAGCATGGTTTGCTGTTATGTTATAAATCATATTTTTGTGACACAAATAAAGAACATGATGTGAATATTGTATCGCCTCATGTTAAAGTTATGACAACTATCAATCTCTTGAGGCACAAGGTCAAGAAAGGGTAAGTTGTGCAGTCCCATATCGCCTAGGGATGAAGATAGATCCTAGTTTATAATGAATGACACCACCTCTCAATAGTATAAGGCCTTTTGGGGTGAAGACCAAAAGTAAAAACCGTACGGGCTTAAGCCCAAAGCGGACAATATCATACCAGGTGCGGATCGTTACATATGGTATAAGTGCCTTTACCCAACCGAAAATGTGGCCAACGAGGACATTAGGCCCCAATGAGGAGGGGTGATTGTGACAACCATCAATCCCTTGAGGCACAAAGCCAAGAAAGTTGTACAATCCCACATCGTCTGGGGATGAAGATAGGTCATGGTTTATAAGGAATGATACCACCTCCCAATGGTATGAGGCCTTTTGGGGTGAATCTTAAAAGTAAAAACCGTGCGAGCTCAGGCCCAAAGCGGACAATATCATACCATGTGGGGGTGCGGGTCGTTACAAAAGTATGTCATAATGATTAATTTGTGACGTGATCATAATTGTATGTTCACCTAAATAAGAGGCTATGGTAACAATGAAATGTTAAGTGTCATATCGCCCTCTGGTCATAAGTACGCGAGGAATTTCTTTGGGCTCATGGGATGTGAGGTAATAAAAATTTAATTGTGACCCTGGGGTAGTTGGACTAAATGTTTAAGTCGCACCCTCACTCCCCTTGGTCTTGCGCACATGGGTACGAGTATAGGGCCCCTAAGGTAATAGAACACACTTCCATAAGTTAAGCATAATTGGTCATGCATTTCGACATATGTTTTGTGTGCAAAATGTTTTGTAAGGATATTTGTACCTAATGAGCTTTGGCTCACTAATTGTTCATGCAGTAGGTAAACAACCTATCACTTAGTGATGGACTTGACGGAGAACGTGTACGACAGAGGTTTGGGTCCGGATACCACCATGCAAAGAATTCCGCAAAGTTGTTTTAGATTTAAATTCTGAAGTTATGTTTTCATATGATTAGATTCTACACCTAATTAAGTATGGTTTAGAAGAAAGGATTTAAATTACTATGTTTCTATATTATATGTTTGAAGGCGTTATTAGCAAATGTTTGACTGCGTTAAGTTAAAGAGTAATCATAAACTGTTTGTATTTATATTATGCATTTCTTAAATTTTAGTTTTAAATTCATATTGATAATTCGATTAAGTACATTCCGAAACATGTAAGTTTAAAGGATAATCTATTTTAATATAAGTTTTTTTTAAAAAAGTATTTCTAAAATTGTAGTAACTAAGTATTAGAGTTTTGAAAAATAAAATTGTTTCCGCTATAATTTCATGGATACTAACGGCCTAGAAATCCGGGTCGTTACATTCACTCTCTCAAAAATTGAAAAATAATATTTTTCGTATCAAGAAAAAAAAATAAAATTAGAAATTTAATTTTGAGTCCAACAGTAAAAATGACATCCAAAATGAAAGTTATGACAAAATCGCAGTCTCCCACACTTACTGTCGGGGGAGAGTGAGATTTGCTTCAGCTGCCTATGCTAAGCTTGCAGCATGTCACGCGCCATATGGTGGAGAGTGCACGCCACTCGCCTTATTCGGTGCAGGACGTTGACTTCGTCCGTATACCATCACGAGCCTCATCTCGAATGATTCCATTGATATGTCATACATGGTTAGACGTCGCCTCTAGGTTGGCGCGTGAGAAACACTCTCCATTGGTGAGAGTGTGATTCGTGGACTAGGTCAAAGTCACGATCTTCGTGCTCTTCATGCTCCAAGTCACAATCCTGCACGATCACTATCACCACCACATCCTTGATTGTTCACAGTGTGTGTGGTTATTTAAAAAAAAATGTAAGGTCCGAACAACCACGATAAATCAACAACTCAAGAACCAATGGAAGACTAGGAGAAAGAGAGAAAACTGACAGAGTTTCGACGTATTTTTGTCACACTTCAATTTGTTCCTTGCTATCTAACTATTATAGACACACCTGTCATAAAAGGAGCAAGCACAAAATATGAAAAGTATCGTTCTTATTTCCTTGCTATCAAGCTATTGTAGCCACGCCTGTCATAAAAGGAGCAAGCACAAAATATGAAAAATATCGTTCTTATTTTTTGTGGAATAGTAAGTTACCCAATTATTCAATCCGTCAAGATATTAGAAATATTCCATAATAGTTCCAATATGATACTTTCCCTTTCATATCTCGAAGATTTTATTCCAAATCAAGTCTGAGTATTGACTTTTGGGCTATGCACCATTATGTGCGCCTTATAGTCCAACAAATCTTGTTCTTAATTTTGAGTTAGCTAAATAATAAGAGAATAAGTTATCCAATTACTCAATTCATCAAGATATTCTAAATATTTCATAATATTTCTAATAGGCTACTTTCTTTTTTCATATCTTGTAGATTTTATTCTAAATATAGTCCAAGCGTTGACATTTTGGGCTATGCAACATTATGTACGACTCGGAATCCAACAAATCTTGTTCTTAATTTTGAGTTAGCCAAATAATGAATTGATATCCTTAGTTTATGAAAAAGGAATAAATGTTCAATATTGTATTATTGTTGAGAGAACAAAAATGTGATATAAAGATTTCAATATCGAAGAGTTCTCTAACGCAAAGGACAAGAAGATTCTGTGGGTACCTCAATATAGTATGAAAATTAACTTGTAATTTTCTAAATACCATGATTCGAGTCTTGTACTAGATTCTTTAAATTCGCAAATCCTATTTTGCATAGATACGTCACTGCCTAATTTCCATGCAAACAACATATGGATCGTTCGATCATTTTTCTTAAGCCCCTTTTGCCTTTCTTCAACATAATGTCCGATATTGCTTTTCATAATCCGTCATGTTGCTTCTCAAGCGCTAGAGCCCATCAATTCATGATCTTAAAGATTAAGTCATCGATTAATGTAAATGAATGACTTATTCTTTTAAGTTGATGTAACAAAATAGTCAAAGTGTATGATTAAAACAAATAACAGAAAGTGTGATTTCAGATAAAGAAATTTATACAACTAATTGAGGTTACTAGTCTAATTTATCATGTATACAGGTATATAAATACAATACATTTCTATAACTATGAACTAAGGGGACTCACTGCGTAGATATGAAAAGTTCTTTGTCTTCATCTGCTGGTCACAATATACATTTTTTTATACCATAAGCAAAGAAAAGGCAAAGAAAAAATAATTAAATATATAAAATTTAGATGCACTTGTTCATGTTTGGGAGAACATCCAAATACTTACTACTAAGAGAGTGAGGGGTAGACCAAGAATTACTTGGGCTGACGTAGTTAAGCACGACTTTCAAGATCTAGAGCTTCAGGAGGGTCTCATATTTAATAGAGCAGACTGGAAACGAGAAATCCATATAGCCGACCCCAATTAATTTAGGATTAAGGCTTGTATTTCATGTTGTTGTTGTGATAAAATGAAGCCTACTTGCTTGGTGATTGGTTTGATTGAGAGGTATCTGCACGACTCAAGCATTTTCTCCTGTATCTCCATGCTACTTGAATACATGATGCCGCAAGATTTCTCCAGTAAGGCGACTCATATCTGCGATTAAGATAAAGGAACATTTTAAGGCAAAGGGATGTAAAAAACTATGTGTATAAATATATACAAACATACATATATATATATATATATATACATATATATGAATGTATATATATGCTAAGGATGATAGCAAGCTTCCGAAATGATTAGATTAGCAGATAAAAACCAATCCGAGAAAGCGCCAGCTAGGTTATACTCTTCAAATAAACGAGCATATACCAAAAAGAAAAGGGCAAAGTAAAATTTTAAAGGTATTACTTCGCTATGAAATACGGGAGACAAGAAACACAACTCGGCTTACATTTGGGACAGCAGAACAAAGTTGGTAACAGCAGGGTTGCTAAACAACTATCTTTAATGAAATTAAGACATAAATGTATTGAGAAAGTACCTAATGGCTCCTTGAACACGTGGGTTTCGCAATAATCTCGAATAAAGGCTGGTGACTTCTTCGAGATCAGCTGCTCGGAGTGAAAATGCTTCTACATTCGTCAGACACACCACTGTCCTATTGCTTAGCAATCTCTTTCCCGGAATCCTGATCTTTTTCGCATCTACAAATGACCAAAAAACAAAAAAAAAAACACTGCTATTAAATCTCACTTCATTTAATCACTGTCTATTGCAGGACAATCAAGACCCATTATACAGGTGATAGTTATCCAAATCATACCTTTGTTCACTGAAGAGTGCTCAAGACACCAAGTGAGAAGTTCCTCGCCGCAAACGTCACCTTCAGACAAGGTATCCTTAGTCCCATTATCTACGACGCTCAACAAAAGTCATCTTCTCAATTAGACTACCTTGATACAAAATTTTGCTCCCCTTGATGTACGTCTTTTGCCTTAGCTTTTCGCAGACGGCATCTATGATTGGATCATCCATGAGGGCAAATATTCGAACCTACAGTGTTTTTAAAACTGTAAGAACATGAACAATGACTTGATGTGAAGTTAATCGCTTCTTAAATTTAAGAATTAAGACGTTCACAGAATATCCTATTCAACTTTTTTTCTATAATGCACATTTATCGACACATTTGGTCTCATACTACAAGTTAACTAGTATAAATGGGAATAAATAATGCTAGGGGTCTCAACTTTCATCCCAAGTTTTTGATACCAACTAACGCGGTATGTAAAAAATTTTCCACATCAATTAGTATTAAAAAGTATTAATGTACCAAGGAAAAGATGACAACTCGTTGCCACATGAGTTGTATCAAAACATTGGGAGAAGAGTTGGAGCAATCCTATATACCACCAAAACTTTTCAACCAATCACAAATCGCATGTCAACTTTGAGATGTTAAATTGTGGAGCCTAATTAATTGCCCTGACGATTTATTGCCTTACACTTGTAAAATCGGTTGCCCTAGTTTTCATTATAAAAAAGAGGGTGCCGTTTTTGGGGTTAATTAGAGAGTAGACAAAAAAAAAAAAAAAAAGAGTTGAGACGTGTGCGATTTTTCTTGTGTAAATTCTTCTCTATCATAGTGGAAAAACTGCAATGACTGAAAGAGGACATAGTCTCACATTGAAGTAAACCTCTATTAGTTCTGTGTGCATCAATTTTGCTTGATTTATTTTCCACGTTTTTACTGCTCTCGATTGCGTAGAATTAGGGCGTGTAATTCTCAACACGAGATTCAAGGATTATGTCACAGGGCCAACAAAGTCTTACATGTCAATCTCTATAGGTATAAAATCAGCAGTGATGATCACCACCAGTGATGGCTAGAAATTTTCTAAAAATGTAAGAACACCTAGCATTACTCAAGTCTAGAACGGATGAAGAAAGTGGTTATATTGTATTGATAGGGAAAAAGAAACTGGTTATAGTATGATGCCAACCTTCTTGATGAACTTGAACAAATGGCGTCTTATATCTCTCTGAAGGTCTTCAGGCAAGTTCTCGAAAAGCATTTCCTCATTAACCCCTCTGGTGGCTGCCCAGTTATACCTTTCCGCTTGCCGCACTCGCCTACATAATAGACCAACAGTTTGTTAGATTTTGTAATCCTGCATGTTGTGTGGTTATCCACATACTAATCTTTCCAGCAGTTTGAATATTTGCCGTACACTGCATCAACAGTTTAAGCAAACCAGGAAAAAAGCACTGTGTGTTCTTTAATGTTGTCAATTCCCATGGAGCTAATATGAATACTTGAGACATTTTTGAAACGTTGGTGCCAAGTCTAAACTAAAATCCGTGCAAATTGAGAAAATCCAACCAGTACTCTTGAAAAAACAAATATGGAAACTCTCCTAATAAAATAACAAGATGCCAAGGGGAGTCAATCCCTACGTGCCTTATGATGGAACAACAAATATGCATGAATGCTGACTTTGAGTGACGTGTTTGTGTTTAGGCGAGAGAGAAAATGAAGAAAAGACTAGGAACAAAGAGTCTGGTGCTGAAACTATTGAGCTATTGCTGCTCTTCATTTCTCAGTCCACATGTTGATATTAATGGGACGTTTGGTTCATGGGTTCAAAACCATGATTCATGATTCTGATTTTTGAAATTTAAATATTTTGTGAGAGAAAAACACTGTAGAGAATCAAGAATCATGATTCAGAACCAGGAACGAACCCTTGAAATAAACATCCCATAAGTGTTTGACACACTCGGTGTTTTAGAAACCGCACAACCTCAGATGATGTGTTAGGCATTTAATATGACGCGCCAGACACTATATGAAATGAAATTTGATATCTTTTTTTTTTTTTGGCAAAAGAAAAGAGAGAAGAACTTTAGGCGATGTATAAAACAGGCCAAGGGTTCCTTATTGACATCAAAAGATCACAGCAACTGACCTAGGGTTTGCACATAATCAGAAGTGAAATATGTATCACGTTACAGACCATTTATATATGTGATTGTATTATTATTATGTGTTGAGTTACCATTCAAAAGCTACATCCTTTGATATGCAAACTTATGTATGGAGAAGTTAATAAGAATTTCCTTAAAAGTTTTCACAAATAATGGTAATAATACTTGAAGAAATTAATGGAATAATTCCGATTATTCTTATTCATAAAAAACGATATACAACCTAATATATAGGCTAGGGTGGCTGACAAACCAGTCCACCGAGAAAGGGAAATAGAATCCCTTAAAATCAGGAATTCCACCAAATCAGGAAAAAACCGGAAACTACAAAATCTAAATAAGGAAAACTGAAACTAAAATCTATTCTAAGAAAATAAATAACTTCTAACTAAATGCAAGGGTCAGCTACTTTCTACACTCCCCCTCAAGCTGGGTTGTATATATTATACAAACCAAGCTTGGAGTTCAATTCATCGAAGCTAACCCTTGGAAGTGCCTTAGTGAGAATATCAGCAATCTAAAGTCTTGTTGAAACATAGCTTAGCTGCACAATCCCATTGTTGACCTTCTCTGAGATGAAGTGTCGATCAATCTCGATGTGTTTTGTTCTGTCATGATGCATGGGATTGTTAGCGATGCTAATAGCTGCCTGACTGTCACTAAACATCTTAACTGCGTCCCTCGTCTCAACCTTGAGCTCCCTTAATAGCCTTTGAAGCCACATTCCTTCGCATATTCCTAGTGCAAGAGCATGATATTCTGATTCTGCACTACTCCGAGAGACAACAGCTTGTTTTTTACTTCTCCACGTGACGAGATTTCCCCAGATGTATGAACAGTAACTAATCGTTGACCTTCTATCAGTTAATTCTCCTGCCCAGCTAGCATTTGTGTATATCTCAACCTCACGTTTTTCCGATTTTTGGAAGAGCAAACCATGTCCAGGAGTCATCTTTAAATATCTCAAAATTCTGTTCACTGCTTCCAAATGATCCTCACTCGGATTATTCATGTGCTGGCTCACTACACTGACTGAGTAGGCAATATCAGGTCTTGTGTGTGATAGGTAGATTAGTTTGCCCACAAGTCTCTGATATCTTCCCTTGTCAACTGGATTACTTTCTTCATTTCTGTTTGGCTTTTTGTTGGGATCCATGGGTGTGTCAGCAGGTTTACACCTAATAAAGCCAATTTCACTTAACAAGTCTAAGATGTACTTTCTTTGGGATATTACAATTCCCTCCTTAGACCGAGCCACCTCCATTCCCAGAAAATATCTAAGAGTCCCGAGATCCTTGATCTCAATTCTATTGCAAGCATCTTTTTGAGTCTAATAATTTCCTCTGAGTCATCACCTGTCAAAATGATATCGTCTACATATACTATGAGAATAGCTATCTTGCCTCCAGAATTGGATTTAACAAACAGTGTATGATCAGCTTGACACTGATGGTATCCATTTGTAATCACAGTTCTGGCAAACCTGTCAAACCAAGCACGAGGAGATTGTTTCAAGCCATATAAGGATTTCTTCAACTTACAAACAAACCTGCTATTTGAATTATTTTCCAAGCCCGGAGGTATAGTCATGTAGACTTCTTCTTCAAGGTCCCCATTGAAGAAGGCATTTTTAATATCAAGTTGGTATAGAGGCCAATCTTGATTCACTGCAGGAGAGAGTAGAACTCAAACCGTATTGAGCTTGGCAACGGGTGCGAAAGTTTCCTGGTAGTCTATCCCATATGACTGCATGAAGCCCTTTGCTACAAGTCTGGCTTTGAATCTTTCGACACTTCCATCTACTTTGTACTTAACCGTGAATATCCATTTGCAGCCTACAGGATTTTTTCCATGAGGTAATTCTGTAAAGATCCATGTGTCATTCCTTTCTAGAGCCCGAATTTCTTCCTCAACTGCTTGTTTCCATGCTGGAACCTTTAGAGCCTCTTGGATAGAGTTAGGAATCTGCACACTATCAAGATTGGACACAAAAGCCCTGTAAGGTGGGAGCAACTTCCCATACGCTACATATCTTTCGATTGGATGACCAATGCACCCTCGAACACCTTTCCTGTCGGCAATTGGCTGATCAGAGTCATCAACCACTGGCACAATAAAGTCATGAGTTACGAAATTCATAACATTGTGATTATCGGATGCAGGAGGACTTGGTTCTAGTTCTTGACAGTCACGGGTCTGCATGGTGTCCTCTATATGCTCGGTTGGTCGTCTTCTTCTGGTATAGACACGAGGTTCATGATTATTAGTGTCAAGTTGAGGTGGAGTAGGAACAATTGGGGCTGGAACAATTAGAGCTATTGCAGTGGCAGAGTTTGGTTCTTCAAGTAGGGTCGGTTGAGTGGAAGTGTTCGGGATTGTTGAAGGAAAAATGGCCTGAGTGTCTTGGAGAAGATCCCAAATCTAATATTCCCTCGAGTTCTCCCCCTGAATTTCGGATTTGGGAAAGTAAGGCTGATTCTTAAAAAAGGTGACATCCATGGAGTTGTATACTTTCTTAGTAATTGGTGAGTAACACTTGTATCCTTTTTTATTAGAGGAGTAACCGAGGAAGTTACATTTGAGAGACCTAGGATCAAGTTTAGTCCGGTGTTGTTGGTGGATGTGAACGAAGGAAGAACAACCAAAAACCTTCAATGGTAAGTCGGAAGGAAAGGAGCAGATATGTGGATAGTTTCCATGAGAACATGACGAGGAGTTTGGAATTTTAGGACTTGACTAGGCATCCTATTGATGAGATATGTGGCTATGAGTATGGCTTCCCCCCAAAAGTGTTTAGGCACATGATTAGAGAACATAATGGCATGGGCCACCTCAAGTAAATGTCTATTCTTCCTTTCAGCAACCCTATTTTGTTGAGGAGTATCAACACAAGAACTTATATGAATAATACCATGCTTGGAAAGATAAGGACCAAGAATGGAATTGAAATACTCCCTAGCATTATCTGTTTTAAGAACTTGAATGTTGCTTTGAAATTGAGTAGAGATCATGGAATGAAAGGATTGAAAGATGGTGGCTGTTTCGGATTTTTCTTTCATAAGGAATGTCCAAGTTGTTCTCGTATGATCATCTATGAATGACACAAACCATCGAGCCCCATTTATATTTTTTACTCATGAGGGTTCCCAAATATCACTGTGAATTACAGAAAATGGATGTGAAGGCTTGTATTGTAAACTAGAATATACATGTCTAGTATGTTTTGCAAGCTGGCAAATTTCACATTGGTAAAAATTTGAATTTTTCTTGATAAACAAATGCGGAAACAACTTTTCAATGTATCCAAAATTTGGATGACCAAGGCGATAATGCCATAACATGACTTGACTCTCAATTGAAACAGAATTGGAAACAAGATTGACGGAATTTGAACTAGACTCAGAAACACAACTTGACGGGTAAACTTGTCTACCAAGGAGATTATTTTCTTTGAGCAAATATAGGCCACCACGCATCTCAGCATTGCCAATCACCTTCCCCGAATCCACTGCCTGAAAATCACAAAAATTGGAATAGAATTTAGTCACACATTTTAAGTTACGAGTAAGTTTGCTGATTGAAAGTAGATTGCAGTCTAATTTAGGGACATAAAGGACAAGGTAAAGGTGAAGATCCTTTGTTAATTGGACTGATCCGGTTCCTGCCACTGGTGAAAAGCTATTCGGACTGTAGAGTGACTAGTACATGGACTGTAATTTCTGAAACAGTTAATGTCTCCAGTCATATGATCCGAGGCTCCCGAGTCAACTATCCACGGTTTTGGTGTTGTATTTTTGACAATATGAGCCTAGGATAGGATACCTTGGTGTGCTAGAAGGCTGGTAGGTTGCTCGGCAGGGGATTGTGATGTTTGTGGTGCTTGTCCGGAACTGGAAACATGACCAAGCATTTTCTGCAGTGCCGCAGGTTGCTCCTTGGTGAATGGATTGACTTCTGCATCATTTCATGTTGTAGCAGCAGCATTTGCATGGTTCTCCCTGTCAAATCGTTCACTAGATGGCTTCCAATCTGCAGGTTTTCCATGTATTTTCCAACATGTCTCCTTCACATGACCAAGTTTCTTACAATGGTCGCACCATGGACGTCCTTTCCTGGGCTTATTATTCTGAGAGGAGTTGTGAGTGTACAAGGTTGACCCTTCGGAAGCGGGCGTAGTGTGGTTGTCTGTCGTCATCAGTTTCTTTCTGCTCTCCTCTCTACGAACTTCTACAAAAGCCTCCCGAATAGTTGGGAGAGGTTTAATCCCCATGATTCTCCCCCTGACTTCGTCTAGGTCTTTATTGAGGCCAAGAAGAAATCTAATGGTCCTTTTTTGTTCAACAATCTTCCTATGCAAGGCAGTCATCAGAACATTTCCAAGAGATTTAGAATAAATCTCGTACATGTCCAATTGCAGCCAACAGCGTGTGAGAGTGTTGAAATATTGAGTAACACTTGAGTCTCCCTGTCGTAGATCATACAATCTGGTCTCAATCTCAAACAACTCTGAGGAATTCTCAGTGCTGGAATACGTTTCACGTGCAGCCTCCCATATTTCCTTGGCTGTCCTGTAAAGCAGATAGTTTTCTCCAACCTCCGTGGTCATGGAATTTATTAGCCATGACATAACCAGGTGATCATCAGTTTTTCAGGCCCTGTATTTCGGATCTGCTGTTTCTGGAGCAGAGATTTCGCCTGTGAGATGTCCATCCTTCCCTCTGCCACAGATGTACATAAAAACAGACTGTGACCATTGAAGAAAATTATGGCCATGAAGTTTATGATTTGTGACAAGATGAGAGGAGGAATCGGGGATGATAGGGGCTGAAGAATTAGGCTCGGATCTAGAAGTGATTTCCGAGGAAGAGGATTGTGATGCCATGTTGTATTTTGTCATGGTGAGAGTACGGCAAGGGAAAGAGATGTTTGGAGAGGATTAGGGTTCAGAAACCTAGGGCTCTGATACCATGACGAAATTAATGGAATAATTCTGATTATTCTTATTCATAAAAAAACGATATACAACCTAATATATAGGCTAGGGTGGCTGACAAACCAGTCCACCGAGAAAGGGAAATAGAATCCCTGAAAATCAGGAATTCCACCAAATTAAGAAAAAACCGGAAACTACAAAAGCTAAATAAGGAAAACAGAAACTGAAATCTATTCTAAGAAAATAAATAACTTCCTAACTAAATGCAAGGGTCGGCTACTTTCTACAATACTAATAAAATAAAATAAACAAAAGAAGGTTCCATGGATGTATTATTCTTAAAGCAAATACTGCAGTTAGTTTATTAGCCAAAATAATAGTTATAAAAGCAATTAAACTTACTAAACTGATAGTAAAGACAAGAAACTTATAGTTATAACAATACCTTCTAAGTTCTTCTGGTAGGCGCCGATGGCTCATCCACTGCTCAACATCTCGACGTCGTAGCGACATTTCTAGCCTCCTACAGAGTGAACCAAAAATATAATTTGAGAGATTCAATGTATAATTCTCCAAAGAATCAATGGAAAGATACTTTGTAAATAGCCTCTTTCTTTTGTGAAACTTTTGGCAAGAGGTTTGCTAGTTTGACATGACAAGCTTCATGGTTTACTTGTTCACAAATATCAAAAGGGAAAAAGGAGACAATTACCCCTTACAGTGCATGGGTCTAGATTTTTACCCCTTATTCTTGATTAATATCCCTTTTAGTCAAATAACTATATTAATCAAAAGGGTACTAATCAAGAGTAAGGGGTATAGATCCAGACTCATGCACTCCAAGATAAGTTCAGCAATGTTTTCATATCGAAAAGTATCATATTGATTTATGGTTCATAAGAAGGTGGAATCTTTAACACATTGTTTGATGAGGTGATAAGACTGTTTCTATATTTAATATTCTTACTTTCATGTAATAAACAATATTGGTAGGACATTTTAGTTGGCTAAGCTGTTAAAGTAGTTTGTTGGAAGTTAACTAGTGAAGCATAGGGGCTGTAATGTTTATTGTTCAGATCGGAATTGTGCAGGTTAGTTGGTGGTAATGAATTATAAATACAGGGAAAATCAGTTAGTTAGACGGGGACTCGGAGTTGCTTTTATCAGTGCAATTTCTGCAATAGAGTTCATTCTTTTCATTCTAGTGAGCCCGTTAAATCAGGGTTCTATCAAACATAAACTGAAATTCTAAACCTTGAAGTTCAAATTTTCGATCCGAGGAATTTATGAATAATAAGAAAAAAGCGCACCTTAAAGGAACAGGCAAACAACATTTGTTGTTTTTTTGGGAACAGGCAAAAAGAATATCAGTCTTCCAAACTATTGACTAGGATAAATATTTCTTTTTCCTTTTTTACAAATTAAAATGTTTGCAGACAAAACAGCGGATTCAGCTAGGACTCTATTCGTGCTAAAAGAATTAACGAGGCTGATTAAACTACATTCCAACTAAGTTTTTTCACAGGGACGTGTAATAAACAGCTGAGCAAAATACATAATCACTGTCAGTGGAAAAGTAAGTACCTCCTTCCGAGAGCTTGGAGAAAGTTTTGCATGTTGCCAATGAGGAGAGCGAAAAGCAAGAGGCCAAGTCCAATAATGGCCATTGTGAAAAGAACTTCCCAAACAAAATAGCTTGGAGTTTGATTTCCAGCTAGAGTACTGATTTGCTTCATCAAATTAATTATTCACAAGAGTGATTTGTCAGCAAAGGGATATACACTGATCTTGTAGATTGCATAATCAGGTGTTCCTAGTTACTTTAAAGTCGAAGTATAAACATGCATGTGAATTATCAGAAGTGGAGAAGATGTGTAATTTTACCATAACTGAGCCATGAAGAAGAAGAAGAAGAAGAAAAGGAAAAATACACACACACACATACAAATACATGCATATGCATACATATACATATATACACATGCATATGTGTGTATTTTAACAATGATAAACGGTCACAAGCTTAGCCTAATGGGTAAATCCAAGCGTGGCTCCAATCTAGAGATAAAGAATTCAAATCCCTCCACCCCCTAGTTCAAACAAGCAAAATTGGTGGTAGTGTTTCCATGAAAGGGAGGGGTATAATAAACAACAAAGTCCAGGGCATACTACAGATTTGGGACCAAACATTAAAGATAGCCTTGTATGACAAGGCAGCCCAATTGAGCATAGATAAAGATCAAGTCAATAGGATCTATGGGGCTATATTTGAACAGTTAAGCACAAAGTCGAGTTCAAAATGGTAAGACGAAACATGTTTATTTCAAGAATTTGCACCTCCTTGTCACAACAAAAATAGAGGAATTCTATTCTTCAGAGTGTAGCATTAAGTTTCTCCCTAGCCTCTTTAGATATAACTTTAAAAAGATAGGGAAAAGAAAAAGGAAGGAAAAATATCTAACAAACAACAAAATACACACACACACACACTCTCTCTCTCTCTCTCTCTTTAAGACATGAGAAACAGCTAACAGCGGATGAAAATAAAGTAATACCTGGAATCCCCAAAACAATGAATATATGTATCTAGTAATCACACTGCCCTTTGTCGTAAGGAGAACAACTTTGTCGTAAATTCCATATGGAAAACCGTCGGAAAAGCAAGCAGCAGCATTTGCGTTACTTTTCCAAGTGTTCTGCATGGCTAAATCTGAAGCATTTTTATAATTATCACCATGTCCACAATCGATATATTTGCACAACACCTTGTTTCCAGAGCTATGGCAAGCGTCTCGAAGACATTGATTAACCCTCTGGGACAAGAAAGGAGGGAAATCAATGGATGTTTGAATAAAGTAACAACAGGTAGCAATTAGTGTTAACAGTCCAAACACAATCTGATTTTTATTATTCATTTAACACAAGTTGAGACGACTAGTCTTGATCCAGACTCCCCCTTATCATTTTGTAACTCATATCCTTCCTGATGAGCAAAAGCACAAAGCAAGAGACAAGTGCCTCAGCCTAACTGCCCCAATAATTCCAAAATATCAAATTCTTATGCAGACAGATTAGCTTCTTTAGCCTATGCTAGTAACAGTAGAATGCAGTGGCATTCAATCCCTTCCTCAATTGAACATTTAGTTAATAGGGATTGTCTAAGATTATCTTTCTATAGGTTTATTAACTGCTCGTTGATCTCTTTCATGTACTATTTCATTCTTTAGTTTTAGCCTCTTATGAGATGTATTAACTTTAATTAATTAAAAAAATAATAAAATAAACAGAGCAAAAGGTTTGACTATCCGAATACAGCTTCCTAAAAGTGTGGAACATAGGTTAGAGACATAAATAAAAAAATATATATAGTCCTAGAAAGGTCTTGTTTCAACCAACGAGTGTTTAAAAGATCACCAACCTGTAACCCGAAGAGGTACCACCCTGACCCAACAACATGGCCGGATAACACAAAGGTCAGAAGATTAATAATGAAATTCACCCATGCTGACTCAAATATGAAGCCACTTGGAGACTGACCAGCAAGCAATGGTAGAAACCTACACAACCTTGGCATATACTGAACAAGGATCGCAGCACGCAGAAGATTTTTTGCATAGTTTGCTCCAGATGATCCCAAGTGGTTTGGTAGAACTAATAATATAATTATCTGCAAAGAGGTACGTGAAGACTTTATCTACGACCAATATGGAAGGAATAACAAATCCTTAGCATCAATCTATTGTTCAAACCAATGTGTAAATCAACTTTGTGTACGCGTAAACTGAAAGATAAATTCCAGCCAAAAAAAAAAAAAAAACTGACAGATAACTTTGGTAAGACAAATGACCATATATATGCACAGAAATGTTTTCAGTACAAGGGTACGTTTATTAAGCAAAATGATCCTCAGAAAAAATAAATAAATAAAAAAAAGGATAATAACACAAAAGGAACAAACAAATCATCTCGTCTCCATATATTTTTCTAATATAAACTGGAAAATTGTATGCCTAAATCAAAGCATAAAATGAATTGTATTGGGCTATTGGTTTGTAACACTCTAGCATCAATAGTATGACATGTGAAACTGAAGGCAGAATGTGTGAGTGAGTGAGAGTGTGTGTGTGACAGAGAGAGAGAAAGAGAGAGTTACTTGAGGAAGCGGCAATACAACAAAAAAGTCAACAAAAAAATATCCTTGAAGGTAATTGAGAGCGATTCTTTTCGGATGGTCAACTAACTCTCCAGCACCAACCACTCTAGACTCGGGAGACACATAAGCCAGCCTAAACTGCAAAAAAAACAAAAAACAAAACAAAACAAAACAAAATAAAACATTTATAATAGTTTAAGGCTTGGATGAACAAGTTCTATACCCTGGTTACATTGTGCAAATTGTCTTCCATTGTGATGCCTTTCAAAGAAGTTGCAATAAATGTGTGTTGAATCACAAGCCGGACTATAAAGTATCAAATACATACCAAAGAATTTTGAGAACATGAAATGATGGGAAATGAACAATGCAAAAGAAATTGCCTAATGGAAAACATAACTAAAAGGAAGAAAACCTTTTAGATTCAAGTCCAACTAACAAAACTTATTTTGGTTAAGCCATTTGGCAGCCTATTAGCCTCTTCAAATAGTAGATTCAGTATGTTCTGACTTCTGCCTTTGGAATATAGAGAAGAAAAAATTTTTCTCTTGTGTCATTGATGCTCCAAATGGTGTCCAAATCATACCAATATGTTTGAGATACAAGGGACGAAATCCTCTTCCTTCACACCCAAATGAAACACCAGATTTTCAAACAGTATCTGTATTTCAATCTTTAGTCGTGATAGAGTTATTATGTCTAGGTACATATGTAATATACTATATCTTTTACAAATATGCATAAATAATCAACTCCCAATTTAAAGTCAAGATAGATTTTTTTTTTTTCCTTTACATTTTCTCTTCTCTTTCGTTTTGAAGCCGGGTATAGAGATAATAGGCAGCAGTATGATTAGTTACCTGCAGAAAAATGTGTAAAAGGTTTATGAAATCCGTCAAGCTTCGGAGAACTACAAGTGTATGGGCCACTGGCCAATCAATGACTATGCATTTGTTGTCCTGCATCCAAAAGGGTGTAGAATTAATTCCCAAAGTGAATATGAAGTGAAATACCTGATATAATTACATGAGTTCTGACAGAAAAGAATTTTTATTAAATACTTATTTCATGTGTCGCGCTCCTTTGAAACCAAGATCCTCATTTTGGACACAATTTCACCAATTAGTTCTATGTTTTCAACCAGATAAAATCATGTAAAACTAAGGCTCCTGTCTTACGTACATGAGCCAGCAAGATTAACAGCTTAAAATTTAAGCATAGTTAATGATTTTGATATGATTAAGAAAGCTAAACAAAGGGGTGTTTACCTTTTCAACTTTCAGCACGAAGAAAAACAATGGATCTACAAATATTGCTATCAAGCAAGAAATAACAAAAAATTGGTTCCATTGTTGCACAACTTTAGCATGGGGATTCATAATTCCGGGAATATACGGACTCAGAAAAGAGAAAAATCTCCTCGCCCAACCTTTAGCATCCCCATAGAGAGCATTATGGAACTGCAAAAAAGTCAAAATTTAGTAAGCTTCTTATGTTTATTGAACCATTCAGTTAGCATCATTCATCATTCATAACAAGAGAAGAAAAAAAAAGTTACAACATGCAGAGGAAAAGTAATAAAGAACTAGCATCAAATAATTTATTTATAGAATAAGCAATAACAATATCTATCTGTCACAGTTCAGAAATAAAATTGCACTGCATTTAGAAAGAAACATACATGGGGATCAAATATACCCGACCCTTTCGGGTGTTTCTGCGGAATCGGCTGGTAATGGTAATAACTTGGGCAGGTAGTGCAGTAAGGATCATTGCACATTCCCAATTGCCCAGACCTCAGTAGATGATCATTTTTCTTGCCAAAGTTGTCATCAGCCCAATCATTCTGGTTCATTCCACTAATGGAAGGAAACTTTTCTATTCTGGGTGTTGCTTCTTTTTGCGGTTTCGCAACCTGACTTGGTCGAAAAACAAGATTATCTGCTCTGCGGTTACTGGATAGTGGACCACTCATAGCTACAAATGGAGTTCTTTGACTCCTTAAGGGGCCAGTGTGGCCAACAAGGTTAGTCTCTCTCTCATGTGATTCCATTGATGGCATGTCAATAGAAAGCGATGCGCTTCGAGTCCACGGGACGGATCTTCTGAACTGCGAATCCACGTGTTCATCGAGTGACCGCGGATGACAATCTGACAACATTGGTGTCTCATCTCTTTCCCCAGCCATTTCTCATAAAATATGCCTTCAAAAAGAGAAAAAAAAAAAACATCAAATCAAGGCTAGACCTATATAGACATGTAAATATATGCCATTTTCTCCGGGTAAATGGATTGGCTACAATAGTACCCAAAAAAAAAAATTGGTTTTGTCTATTTCAAATAGAAGTTTGATCTCCAAGGCCTCATTAGTCTTCCCCTTCAAAGATAAATATTTGAAACAAAAATCTAAACACGAACTAAAAAGAAACAAATTTTAACAGAAAATTTTCAGTTCAAACTCTTAGACTGTCAGTGTTGAATCAGCGTGTTATAGATTAATATTTAAGCAAATTAGCCTTCAAGTGTAAATTTGCTCAAGAACAAATCTTCAGTTGCTTAGCCACCAAAATCGCCAAAACCCAGCTCCATATATAATCATAACAGTAATGTTTTGTCTATCACATGAATTCTACAACTATATAAACATCTGATAGCAGAAAAAAAAGTAATAATAATTTTTTTTAAAAAAGAAAAAAAAAACTTAAGAGCGGTATAATACTTGCGTAAATATTAAAGGGCATGTTTTCTCACACTAAACAATTTTGGAATATGCAAAAAAAAAGAGAGAGATTAAAAGGCATAACCCTCACAAAGATATAGTTTAGAAAAGAAGGGAAAAACCTGCTTAGTTGTTGGAACTGAACACTTGGACGGGAAACGAAAGAAAGCTTCAAGCTGCATTACCCACAAAAAAGAAAAAAACATAGAGAGAGAGAGTAAGAGAGAGCTGCGATTGACTAAAACGAGAGACTTTGAAAAGTCAGTTGGTCCCTCAGACAAAGCAAACGGTTTTCGTCTTCTTGTGTGTTTCATTTCACACTATTCACGTTGAAACTTTCGTTGCTGTGTTCACTACTTCGCCATTAAATCACAAATGGCATTCTTTTAGCCAAAAACCAAAAAAAAAATACAAATGGCACTTAGAGATAATTAAGAGATGTTTGATTTATATATTAGAATTATGTTATTAAAATTATTTTTAATTTATGTATATTTTTTATAAAAAAAAATATTATAATGAATTATAAATTATAATTTAAATTATGATATAAATACATTAATTAAATTTAATTATTTTTTAAAAGAAATATAAAGAGAAAAATGTTTAAAAATTCATAAGAGAAAAATATTCAGTAAAAATGGATTCTGAAAGACAAACAAAAAAAAAAGTCAACAAAAAATGATAAAGTCCTCACATTTTGTCTCAACGTCCATTAGTAACCCTACCAACCCAATCCGTATCCATCCTATCTTTGCCTTTTTCTTTATGTCACCCCTTTTAACACGTTCTACTCACTTGCTTGACTTATCCTCCACTTTTTATATATTATATGATAATAAATTTTAATTATATAAATTAAAATATTATTTAAATATAATTATTGTGTAGAAATAGTCTCTCGTCAAGACCAGTCAGCACTTTAATTGAAGCCATCATATCCACGGCCACAAAGAAATACATCGGGGTGTGTTTGTTTTCGCTTTTGACAACGTTCTTTATATTTTTTGAGAAAAAAATAAAAATAGAATGAAAAATATATTTAGAGTAGCACCGTATTAAAATAAAAAATAAAAATGTTTTTATATTTCTCTCAAAATTTGATGCATTTTTAAAAATAAATTAAAGTCGTTTTTATTTTCTTTATTTCTATTTTTTTCAGTCTCTGAAATTTTTCTTACTTTCACTTCTCTCGCCATTCTTTTCTCTCCCTCTTCTTCGTTCTCTTCTCACCCTCTTCTCCATTCTCCCTTTCCTATACTCGTCTTCTCCGGTCTCCATTTGTCAACATTGGCCCTCTTTATAAAAGTTGGTCTTCTCCTTCCTCTTTCTTAATACTCGGTGGCCTTCTATTCTCTCGACAGCCCTCTTCTCCGATCTCCCTCTTTCTAAATGGTGGGCTTCTAGCTAGAATCGCAAGATGGTGGATATGGGTTTTTTGTTAGAGTTTGAGGAGATCTCTGATTCTCTAATTAGGCATTTCAATCTGACTCTGCTCCACCCCTACTCCTCCAAATCAACCGAGGTATGCCCATTAATCTGGTTATTGACATGTTTAGGTTGGTATTTTTTCTGCTTTGCTGAGGATTTGTTGGAGTATTGTCGGTTGGGTGTTTTTAAGAAGTTCAGATATGTGTTCGGGGTGTTTTTTTTTTACTCTTTGCTGATATGTGATGTGGTTATATTTGTGTTCTGGGGGGTTTTTTTTTGTTGTTCGCTGATTGGTTTTGATTCCTTCCACATATTGACCGTTTGAACCGAGACTCCTGATCAATGAATGCTAGGCATGAGTAAAAAGTGTATGCTGATATTTTGGTAAAAAAATTAATTTGTAACTGATCAGAAGTACCTTGGGATTGAAACTTGGTTCCTTTTCTAAGACTCAAGTCTTTAGATAGTGAACTAGTTACTTGTTTTGTTGTATGACTAGTTAATATCAGTGTTACATTTTATGGTTTATGTGGGATTGAAGATGTTTATATTCAAAGTGTATGGTTGTTGTGAAACTGAAAATATATGTGCAAAAAAAAAGTACTCAGCCAGCACTGCTTATCTATAGACTGTGATTTCTTTTAATACTGAGTAGAACTGTTCTTGTAGATGTGTGATAAGGATGATAATACAAAATGACCTGCTGCAATTGAGGATTTTTATGTAGAACTAATATATGAGGAGGCAAAGAGCGGTCTGCATACATCCACTTTAGACAAAAAATCGTGAATGAAAATTGAGAATGAAATAGCACGTAAGTTTAGTAAGCATTTCACATTGGACTAGCTTAAAGCAAAGTGGAATATGCTTAGATGTAGTATGAGAGAGTTTCAGGCATTGATTGAAACAACCGGGTTTGGTTGAGACTCTGAGGCTAACATTGTCACGGCTGAAAAAGAAGTGTCGGATTCGTATGTAGCGGTAAGTTTTGATCATAACCATCTTATGTGATATGAAAGAGCTAAATTTGGTGTTTTACATTACACATGAGTATTATTATTGTTTTCTTTATAATGTCAGAAACATCTTGATGCTAAGAAATTCAAGAAATGGGGTTTACACAACTGTGCCCAACTTTCAAAGATTTTTATTGGGACTATTGCAACCGGACAGGAGTCAATAAATGCACATACAGCCGTCAATGTTTTAAATGCGGCCAAAAGGGCTGTCACGCAACCAGAAGAGGAAGAGGAGGGTACAGGGGACTCAGATGAAGTCTGGGATGCAGAAGCCAATAAAAGCATACGGTCTCAGGGTCCTATTACTCGATCTAAGAAGAAGGGCAAGAACAAGGCTACAGTTAAAGATGTTGTAGAGGTTTTGGCAAAGAGTGCAACTCTACGTAGTGAGACATCTATTCAAAAAGTTGGTTTGTTTCAGCAATATTTAGCTGATATGCAAGCTCGTACTATGGCAGCTGCCGAGGCTCAGAAAGAGGATCCTACTACAAGTATTGAAACCTGTATGGATTAGTTGAATAGGTATGAGGAATACTTAGACGACAAGGCGTATAATATGGCAACAGAGAAGTTGGCTGGTGACATTCCTTTAGGAGGATGTTTGTGAAAATGCCTTCTCATTGTCATCTTTCATGGATTCGAAGGTTGTATTTAGTTGAGTCTTATTTGTGTTGTTTTCTTCATTTTTTTTAAGTATTGTTGAACATACTATTTGAACTACCTCTCATACTTGTGTTTGATAGACCTTGTTATTTGTTTCTTGCTGGATTGAATGACCTTGGAGTTCTTTGTTTGATTAGTTAATGTTGTGTGGATGTTTGATTGTCACAACAGTTTATTCTATGATTCTATTTATCATATATCATATTCTAGTCATGTTTTTTTTAGGTTTATATGGATTCCGATGCCACAAATAGTGAGGATGATGTCGCAATTTTAGACTTTCTTGACTCATCAGATGATGATGAAGATCAACAAATTTCCATCCAATTGCTTCTGTTGCTTACAAATAGACCAACTAGGCAACCTCATCGTAATTCTGCGTTAACAGGACGAGAATATGTTTTAGAACAATTACACGGACATCCTAAAAATCTGTTTGAAATGTGTCGATGCACGAGACACGTTCGAATTCAGTTAATTCAAGATCGCAACTTATTGTCTTCTTCAAGTATATCAACAGAAGAATCACTAATCACTAATGATGTTCTTAAGAACGATTACTCACTTAGACCGCAATAGAGATATACAAGCTAGATTTATTCATTCTGGAGAAACGGTACACCAGTATTTTGATAATGTGCTTATTGCATTATGTAAGTTAGCACCTGAAGTTATAAAACCACCAAATATGAACATCGTCCCCCTAGAGATTCGATACAACCCTAAGTATTAGCCATGGTTTAAGGTACAATCTGACTCTACTCATAAATTAAGGATATGACAAATAATTTTAAATTAATCCAAACTCACGCCTTATATATTTTAATAGGATTGTATTGGTGCAATAGATGGTACGCATATAATGGTTGTCCCACCTACACATCAACAGACAGTCTATAAAGGAAGAAGACATTTGTGTACTCAAAATGTAATGGTTGCGTGTAGTTTCAATATGCTATTCACTTACGTCAATACAGGATGGGAAAGCTCAGCTGCTAATTCTAGAGTCTTAACTAAAAATATGAGAGATCCAACGAACCAATTATTGGTGTCACCCATCCCAAAATATTACGTTGTGGATTCCGGTTATAATAACACGCAAGGCTTTTTGGCACCATTTCGTGGTCAGAGGTACCATATTCAACAGTTTAGAAATGGTGGCCAAGCAACGAGACCACAAGAGTTATTCAATTATTATCACTCTTCACTGCGTAATTGCATAGAGAGGTGCTTTAGGGTGTTAAAAGTAAGGTTTAAAATTCTTAAGCTTATGACCAATTATTAGATGCCAAGACAATCACTTATACCAATTACTTGTTGTGTGATCCACAATTTAATTAAGATGCACGCGCAAGATAATCCTCTATTTAAACAATATGATGTCGATTTGCCCTTAGAAGATATCGAGGGAGAACAAGAAGGGCAACAGGGACAACAGCAAGGTATGTACACACAACAAGCAGAAACATCCGAAATGGGGAGTCGACGACAACGTAATCAAATGGTAAAATTTTAGGGATCATCTAGCTGATCAAATGTGGGATTCGTATATACAGCAATAATATCGGCTAAGATTATTCACTAAGTAAACTTTTTTTTTACTAACCATTCACTAAGTTATCTTATTTTAAATTATTTACTATTTATTTATAACGTAATTTAAATTATTATATTAATTATTAGTGTTTTTATTTGGGATTCAATTATTAATTATTTAATATATTATTTCAAATACTATTACATGTTTTTAAAAATGTAAAATGAAACGCAATTTCAACATGTTATAGGACATCAATTCAAGCACAACCCATTTGTTAAATGTCAAAATACCAATCCAAACACAATCCTTTTGTTAATCATGTCAACCTGCGTAACAAATTTAAATTAATATATTAAATAATAACTGATACAAGTAAAATTTATCCAAAAATTTTAAAATTCATGTTATTTGTGTTTAATACATTACATAAACTTTTAAATTATATCATGCATAGTTAATATATATGACACATATAACTAATCGTGTCAATTCGAATCACTTCGTATTAGAAGGTCAACCCTAACTCAACTTGTTTATTAATCGTGTCACTCCGATTATGACTCAAACTCATTTATGGTAAATCTAAACCCGCTAAATTTGTGCAGGTTAATTCATGTTATTGTGTCATGAACTAAATTGCCACCCTTAGT